AATTTTTTTCTAGAATATCGGATCGAATAGAATCGATACGAATAAGAATCGATAAAAAATCATGTTCGGATTATCCGAAAACCCAAAAAAAAATTGGGCTATATTCGAAGACCATAGGAGGTTTTCGCATAAGGCATGAGCACGGCTTATTCATCTTGAGCTATCGCAGAAGAAATCTGCAGTTAAGGCGTGAGCACGCCTTACCAGTCTGTACAACCATAAATTGAGACTTGTTGTATACAACGTCATCGTCTATAAACTTCAAAACTTCCGTTGTTTTTGTAGATTTCATGTCTCCCACCTCTTCATTTATAGACCACCAACCACACTACCATATTAAGTTAAACCATCTACCAGTAATCATTATATGTCCATTCTTTGTGTTGTAAAAATATTATGAACACAATTTTCTCTGAGTTATATAATTAGCGACTCTTTGTTTGTTGATGTACCTGTTTTTAATTATAATAAAGTTTCACCTACCCAAAATTAAAATATGATTTCATCTCTTTCCCCACACAAACAACAAAAAAAAGTTTATACAAATCTAAGCAAATGATTCATGATGCGTAAAATATAGCTCAGTGTTTGAATCTTTACCTTTGCATTATTCCAATCCAGAAAAAAGGAGATCAAATCTAAGTTGTATTGGTTTTGGGCTTTTTTTCAAGATAATTTTAATTTTCAATGCATAATTATACAAATTACAATTCATAATAATTCATAATTTTCAAAATCAGCAGAATGTGTGAATGCACTTAAATTTAGAAGAATATCAAAATCGATATTTCAATATACGTACATATAACATGTTTCTTAAAAATCAAAATCAATATACAAATGCTCTTAGATTCAGCAGAATATCAAAATTAAGATAACGGAGTATTGACTATTAGTCTTATATCTTGAATAAAACTAAAAGGATTAGATTTGAAAATCGGAGTATTCACCTTACGACAAATTAAAACAGCCACAAACAAGATTAGGAAAAGTGTTTTTGGATCTATGTATAAAGTGACATAAAATTCTATTACCCGTAGAGGAGAGGAGAGTAAAGAAGAGGAAGAAGTCGTACTTGACGGTTTTTTTTGAACTTTTTGCTTTCTTTTATTTATTTTATTTTAATTTAATTTTTGCCTATTATATCGTCATGTAAATAGAAAATAATTTTGTAGAAAATAATTTTGTTTTACGTGACATAAAAATATTAATAAAATATAATTTAAATTATATTTTATATTAATTACTCTTTGATGGTATTTAGATAAAAAAATCATAAAAACAACACATGTAATAATTCTTAGCTAAATAAAATATAATTATAAAAGAATACAATATTTATTATAGTCGTAACATAATATTATTTGTATAAAAATATTTAAAACAAGTATAGATAACAACAAGCAGACAAGCATGGCAGCAAGAACAGAGGAGCATCACTTAAGAGAGGTACGAAAAGATAGAGTTGGAATTCGGGAGTACACACATCAATGCGGCACCCTAACCACCCATCAAGTTAGGCCATCTGGGAGCATCCCTTTTGTAAAAAAAAAATATTAATATTAAGTTAATTTTTGCTGTGCTATACAATTACAGACCCCTGTTTGATTTTTGGGTACAGGACTGCAGCAGGGTTCCAAAAAAGGAAGAGACGGGGCATCCCACAAACAAAGGTGAGCAACTGAGCAATAATTGTTAACGATAGAGCGAGTAGGGGTGTGTAAAAATATTCGATTTGGTTGATTTGATTCGTTGATCTGAATCTTAAAATATCGGATAATTTTTTAAAGAAATTACTCGACTGAGTCGGGTCTAAGTCACAAAAATTAATTTTTCTGGGTACCCGATTACTCGAATACGCGGTTAAATTTATATATATATATATATATATATTTAATTTTCCATTGCATATTAGATATAAATATGGGGATATGACTAATATGATACCCAAGTCCCTTGAGTACATAGGAAAAACCTTCCATAAAATCTAACACTCGTATCCAATACTTGCACCCAACATGCTCATAATCTTATTTCAGTCTTCCATTTTTTTTTCTTCATATTCATTGATATATTAATATTTTGAACTTTTAAATTTTATATTTCGATGTTAGATTATTTAATTCGAAATTTTAAACATTTAAATTTATGTTTTTTATATTTAATAATTTAAAGAAAAAAATTCGGGTATCCGGATACCCGACATACAGGTACTCGCAAAATCTGGGTACCAAGAATCCGAATATGAACACGGGACGAGAAATCATCGACTCAAATATTCTAAGTATTCGGTAATCGGATATCCGAAAATTCGGGTACCAGGATTTGCATAGCCCTAACTGATAGGGGGTGTTTGGTTCAAGGATTATGGGATTCTCATGGGAATCTCACATTCCCATGTTTGGTTGGCTGGGAATCTCATTCCCAGTAATATTTTATTACCAATAGTAGATTTTTTGGGTATATTACCGGGAATGTCATTACCTCAATTCCCTTAGGTATTATAATATTACCGGCGTTTTGGACTAAAATGTCATTAAATTTTTATTTTTTTTCAAAAATATCATTCTTCTGTCATTGAATAATAAAAATTCTACGAATGTTAAATTACAAATTTATCCTTAAATTATTTTAGATTTACAAAAAAAATCTATAATTAAAATTTTATATGAAGTTCAGGGATTAAAAAAAATTTACCCTTTTTTTATATTTTTAATTTTGTAAAAATTATATAAATATTATAAATTTAATTTTTTAAAGAAAAATATAAATATTTTACAATTGTAATATTATACAAATATAATAAGGACAATTGGTCAATATTATTTCAATAACTTTATTCCTTTAACCAAATACGGTAATCTTATATTCCTTCTAAACCAACTAAACACAAAATGTAACATTCTCAGTAATCCTATTCTCTGTCTTCTTTTAATGTCTTTGTAGTATTTTCCATGACTTCTACTTTTTATATGTTTCTGTATTGGTATTTATGAAGGATTAGAACTGCGCTTGCTATCGTGACTTCTGTGTATCATTCTCTTCATGTTTCCTCTTTTAAATTTAGCCGGGTCTTATGTTCTGTCTATATGCAGAGATTCTTTCGAGGAATTATTATGCAGGGATAATTCCCGTTACAGACGCACATATGATTTTAATAACTGCTATGAATATGTTTAGCTATGTATTTGTTATATATGCACTGCATTTTATCTATATTTTAATTTTCTGACTGCCGGAGGTCTTCCACGGAAGCTACTCAACCTGGCGTTGGAGCAGTCTACTACCCTACCTACCCCCCAATATGGGAATTGGGTTTGTGTTGTTGTTGTTGTTGCCCTACCTCCCCTTACCCCATACATATGGGAATTGGGTTTTGTTGTTGTTGTTGTTGTTGTAGTGACATGGTGCACAGTGGCTTGATAGCTCAACTGCCGATGCTCCTCACCCGCACCATCACGGTTTGGTTGGTTTCCATTATAACATTGTGGGTCACCTCACTTTGACCTTATTGTATAATAATGACTGACATTAAAGTTGCAATTCAAGCCAGCAGGACAACATTAGCAGAAGCCACGTGACCCTTTCACCTCTCTATTTTAGTACACTGCTTTAGAAGAAGAAGAAGAAATTTGAGTTTGGAGTTTGGACTAAAGTGGAGGGGTGTTTAAATAATCGAATTAATTCGGATAATTGATCGAATTGAATTAATTTGATTCGGTTATTGAATTATTTCGGTTGATTAACGATTAAAAAAATTTAAAATTTGATTAACGGTTAATTCGGTTCGAATTCGGTTAATTAATTAAATTAATTAAAATTAAATTTTAAATATATTATATATAACATATGGGCTCAGCCCAAACTATTTAAAATTCAATTAATAATTTAAGATCCAATAACTTTTAAACCTAAATTAATATTAATTAATTAAAAAAATTATATAAATTTTTTATTTTATAATTATATATTATTTAAATTAATTGTAAACTTTTTTTAATTAAAAAAATATTATATATATTATATATAACATATGGAGTAAATCCAAACCATTTAAAATTCAATTAATAATTTAAGACCAATAACTTTTAAACCTAAATCAATATTAATTAATTAAAAAATTTATCTGAAATTTTTATTTTATAATTATATATTATTTAAATTAATTATAAACTTTTTTAGAATTAAAAAACATTTAATTTTTATATAAATTAGAAAATTTTTAAAAAATTTCGGTTAATTCAAAAATTAATCGATTTAATCGAAATTTATTCGATTCGATTAATATTTTTTTTAAAAAATTCAATTCGATTAACGGTTAATTTTTTTTAATTAATTCAATTATAGTTAATTCGATTTAATTTGATTGGATCAACCCTACCAAAGTGGATCAAAGATCAATCATGTCCGAATGTAATAAAAAAAGAAAATAACTTTTTTTCCTTTTCCCATGTCACTCCATATTTACTGCAACTGTAAGGACCTTCGCTTTTTCACTGTTCTTTTGCTTGCACGGCTGTGTCTTTCTCATCTTTATTAAACTTTGATATTTCATATATTCTTCGTGATCCTATTTATTTTAAATTAATTATCTTTGCTATTAAAAGATATTTACGTGTTCATGTTTTGCAACATGTGGTATTAGTATTTTCATTTTGAAACAAAAAAATCCCAGCCCCTTTTCTTAGTCAGCCGTGAAAGAGAGCTTTCAGAATAAGAGAAACTTTCTTCTTCTTCAGTTCTCTCCTTCGTGTCATTGTAACCGAGAAAGAAAAGTGAAGAAACATAGGGAAAAAAACAAGGGTATGTATCTCTATTTGTCTTTCTTTTCCTTTGCACTTTTTATGCTGTGATTCTACTCTTTCAGCTCACATTGTTTTGGAGTGAGTTTTGTCTTTTATTTTCATATAAAAAGAGACGTGTATATACATTACACACATACGTTTATGATCTTATGTTCTTTGTGAGAAGGTGATTGTGTTTGGAAATATAGAAAGAAAATGCAGCAGCACCTCATGCAGATACAGCCCATGCTAGCAGCTTATTATCCCAATAATATCACTACTGATCATATTCAACAGGTCCTTCCCTTTCTCTTTCTTTTCTCTTTTTTCGTTTTTGATCCGTATGTACTATGTCATGCAGTGTTTTTATTCTCCTTGTAGTCATTACTTCTGGGTTTTTCTTCTTCTTTGATTAGTGAAATATCAATGGAAGCTGTAGTTTTCTTTGTGTTGCTTGTAAAAGAAATTGTCACAAATGAGGTTATTCATGCTGGCTAGGAACTCGTCTTCAATTTGCAGTTACAAGGGTTATTCATGTTTACGTACTCACACATGAGATGAGACCAGTGTTAAGCGATGCTATCTCTCTTTTATTAATTAATGAGATGCTTAACCCTTGTGAAACTATCTCTGGTTTTTCTTGAAGTTTTGATTGGATATCGCATCATTATGGCTGTGCCTGTGCCTGTGCCTATAGTTTTCTGGTGCATTAGCTGATGATTTTAGTATAATGCTGGTGATGATGTTTAAATTACCTGGATATGAATCAAACCGGTTGTCAGCTCGGTTGATTTTGAAAAGAACTTCAACTCGAATTCTAAGGAACAATCTACATTTCATCTGATCTTTCCAATTTAGTGTTGCATCTTTCTTAATTTGTTCAAGGAGTACTTCACTCTAATGCTTGCACCTTGCAGTATCTCGACGAGAACAAGTTGTTGATCTTAAAGATTGTTGAGAGCCAGAATTCTGGGAGATTGAGTGAATGTGCTGAGTAAGTGCTGATATTCAGTCTCTAATGTCTATCAAATTTACAAAGTTACTGGCTAGCTCTGATTCTTGCAGGAACCAATCAAGGCTGCAACAAAACCTCATGTACTTGGCTGCAATTGCGGATGCTCAACCACAACCGCCCACGGTGCACGCTCAGGTACAAATCCCATTTCTCCATCCCTCCAACAGCCATAATAGATATCCTGATTGTCTTTGTCTGCTGCTTGTAGTTTCCTTCCGGTGGTATTATGCAGACAGGAGGTGGACACTACATGCCGCACCAACAAGCACAACCGCAATCGCTTATGGCCTCACGGGCCTCCATGTTGTATGCTCAGCAACCATTTTCCTCCCTGCAACAGCAACAAGCCATGCACGGTCAGGTAGGCATGAGCTCCGGCGGAAACACTGGCTTTAACATACTGCAAAGTGAAGCTAGCTCCGCAGGTCGTGGTGGAGCCTTTGGGGCCAGAGCGTTTCCGGATTTTGCACGTGTCTCTTCTGTAGAAGGCATGCACGGTGGTGGCAAGGCAATGGAAGGTGGATGCAAGCAAGATATTGGGAGTGCCGTCGGGTCACCTGAAGGTCGTGGAGGGAGCTCTGGTGGTCAGTGTGGTGATGAGAATTGAGAGTTTCTTAATGGAGATTCAAAAGAAAGACGAAAATCACACATTATTTTGCTTAAGGAACTTATTCCTGATGCAAAAGAACAACCTAAGACATGTCATTGGAGCTTTTATCTGTGTTTTCTAGTATGAGACTGCAACTTATGGCAATATAACATGTAAATTTGTGGAGTTTTCATGCTTGTTTATTAGGCTTAATTACTTTTTAAAAGTGTGATGAATTTTATTATCATCCTTGTTTTAAAAATATTTGTTAGATTATCTAGTTTAAAATTTAAACACTTAATATTAATATCGAAAGATATTTGTCGAGAAGATAATAACTCTTTAAGTTTTTTGATACATAAAAGTTTGGTTCATGGTTGGTTTCTTTACTCAAGAGTTAAGATATAATTAAGATCTAGTTGAAATTTTTTTTAGACATGAAATTATAAATTTAAAAATATATATTTGAAAAATTAATATTATTTAATTATAAATTATAAATTATTATTCGGTGCAGCAGGGTTAAGATGTAAAAAAATTACCCAAAATGTGGAAATGGGCTAAGCCCAACAATCTTAGGCAGAATTGGAAAGTGGAATAGTGTCCAACTGTACTCCACCCAATCTCATGGTTGAAAACATGTAATTTTCCAAGTTTGGTCTCAACTTGGAACAGCTTGACCGACACAATTGGCAACTGAAACAAGACATCATCGATGATTATGTCTTAACATTAAACTTAGATCTTAGAATTGCGCATAACACAGCTGGAGCAAAGAAGAGTAGCCAACTGCTGAAGCCTGAAGATAATGATGAGATATAAAGAGGTATAAAATGCCAGCTTTAAATACACTTAAAAGCTTCTGGGTTTTCTAGTTAATGGTTGAATTCTCTGTTTTTTTTTTCACCTGAAAACCAAATATTTAACACTCTTAGTTATGAATACTAAATACCCAGATTTTGGATTTAGGAAAAAGAGGCTAAGAAAGAAGCATTTAGAAAGTATCTTGAATCCAGTGGAGTTGTTGATGCTTTCACCAAAGGTTTATTTTTTCTTCTACTTTTCTCTTATTTTAACATGTTTCTTGATGTGGGTGTTTGATTTCTTTTATTGCCATTTTTTTTATTTTGTAGTTTTGGTTGATTTGTATGAACAAAATGAGAAACCATCTTCAGCCCTTGAGTGAGTTTCAGAATTCAATCTTTCAATTGAGTTTTGCATGCCATTTGTTCAAGTTTATATTTATATATATTCAGATCTGTGTTTCAAATTCAATTGACTAATTTCACCCAATTCAGTTTCAGAAGAAACCAGAAATGTCTGAAACATATCTTAGATGTTGTTTTAATTTTTAGCAGAAAAAAGAGAATCATCTGGGATTTCATAATGTTCAGTTACTTTTTCCTATATCTTGGAGTATCATAATGTGTTTGGTTCGAGTTCAGGGAAAATGAAGAATCCAAGTAACTTAGATCTAAAAGGATTAGTAACAGTGCCCATTGCTTGTTGATGTCTGCAAATGCTTGACCTTGTCGAGACTCTACTGTTATGGTCCATGCTTGCAGCCATACAGTACCGGAGCTGAAGTCTCCACACATAACACTAGAAAACGGCTTAACTAAGTGTTAATTATATTACATTGAGAAGCTTATGGTTCACATCCATTTATGTTTTTTTGTCGGGGATTGTTGAGAGAATTTTTTTTTTTCATTATAGGTTTGTCCAACAAAAATTAGGGGGTCCAACGGCATCTGAATACGGAGCTCTACAAGCTGAGATGTCAGATTTGAGAACAAAGTATAATGAGCTATTGTGCAAGCATGAGGATGCTTGCAAAGAGGTATGGTTTGAATTATTTGTTTAAGGTAGCATTTTTCACTATATATATGTATAATTGGGTGCTTCAATTTATTTCCCTGATGCAAGTTTGACCTAATGGACTTACACCATTGCATAAATAGTTGGCGTAGCTTTGTTGACTAATATTAAATTGCCACATGTCCAAGTCAAGGCCACACCGGCATTGAGGAAAAAAACATATGACAGGATACGTGCTAACTTAGCATTGGTCAACCTACGATGTGAGCATTTTATGTAACAATGCTAGTCCATTGGAGTAACCTGTTGGCCGAATACAAGTTCAAGTGTCGTACCAAATTGTTAAACTGGTTTACAAGGTTCAGTTATTAACCAAATATAAAAGCTTCTTTATTCTTATTACTACAATTTTTCACACTTACTTTTAGATGAAAATCCCCACTTTGTCTTCACTATTGAGTCATGGCACAATGAGTTCCTTATGTTGTCATTCGATTATGGTTCAAGCATGTTGAATTTTGCCTCTCAAAAGGATGATTACATAAACTAATCAGACTGATCCCCATATTTATCCCGAAGAAATTTTCGCATTCATCTCGACCCTGGAGTTTTTACTGATTTTTTTTTTTTGTGACATTTTTAGCACAGCATTGTAACCGTTGCAGCTTATAGTTTAAGCATTAGAAGTTTGTCCTGATGACCAAGCTTTTCACACAGTTCATTTAACAGTTTAATTTGCACACCATAATTTTCTCCAAATTGAACTTTTATTGTGAGTTACCTGAGTTGTACATCTCTTCGGTGCAGTTAGAAGAGCTTAAAAATCTGCATTCTTCAGTTTCACTAGCAACAAAGGAGACTATTGAGGGCGAGCCATTGAAAGATGAGGTCTAAGTATATTGGTAAGAATTCATATTATGTAACAATGATGGGATATGAAGCACTTAATATGGTAGTAATCTACAACTTCTAATGACTCGTTTGACTATGTATCCCTTCATTTTTTTTAATATGTAAAATCTTTGTTGATTTATTCTTATTCGAATTCGGGTGTAAGTTTAAGATACTTGTATGCGTTTAACAAGGATATGAACCAATATTGATACAATCTGTGACAGCAAGAAATTCCGAAACCCAACGTCGATTGCAGAAAAATGAAACAGGTCATGGAAAGGACCATGATCATATTACAGATTAGATATTTGTTTTCTTGGTGCCAATTTAAACCTCAACTTTTACGAATCGCGAATAGGTATACAATACCTCGGTCCTTGTGTAATATGATGCGTCTGTACAGGTCGGTTCGTATCTGCTACTCTGTTTATGCTTATACCAAATGCAGAAAACAGCTAAGAGAACACCGATCAAGGCCACCAAACTATAGGCAGAGTGCATCAAAATTATCAGACCTAGAAAAAATATTTGTCAAAGTAATAATTTTTTCATACACATCAATGCTATTGTATTAAATTAAGATAAAATGATAAAATTAGCTCATTCTTGTGTGTGTTTTTTAAGTATTTTAGCTCCCAACATTCTAATTTTTTAATAAAACGGTTTATATAGGATAAAAATTGTTAATTGGTTAATGGTCAATATTTGTTATTGACATTACATTCCTATATTGTTTATTTGGTGACATGGTACATATCATCATTTTGGGTGTCGTGGTATGTGACATAATAACAAGTATATGTAGAAATGTCTTGTTAGCAACATGTGTTGATTTTTAGTTAACTAACAATTTTTAAAATGTCATGATAGCAACATGTGTTGATTTTTAGTTAACTAACAATTTTCATCTAACATGAGTTATTTTGACTAAAATTGATTTAAAAGAAGAATAAGAGTAAAAATAATTATTTAATCAAACGTTGATAATTAATTTTATCATTATAAATTAATGGAAACATTGAATCATTTTATGGCCGTACTTTTCTTTCTCTCATTCCTGTTAGCTTACTCATGCTAATTTTTTTTCCTGTTTTTAATTATAAATATATTTTCTTCAAATTTATAAAGATGGTTTCTCGTTAAAGCTAAAAGGCTTTAATTTCTAGACTCTTAAGATGGAGATAAAGCAGCTTGGCAAAAGAGATAAGTAAGAAATGTTGTTTTATAAAGATTTAGGAAGGCTTAATAACTATTGTGCTTATCCATTCCACACAAAATTTTCAAAACTCAAGCTTTGATAAATTGTTAAAGTTGCATTGCTTATGCATGGGGGGATGAATCATAAACCTAAGAACTATATCCTTTTCATACAACTTTTTGTTTTCCGAAGATGATTTGGGTTCCATCTGCCTAATTGATTTGGACCACAAGGCTGTAAAATTCAATAAGATTATACTGCAAAAACGGTAACCTGCAGGGAATTTATAAAGTAACCATCCACTTAGTGAATTAAACGTGACAAATATTAAGTAAAAAAAATACTATTACTGTTGAAGGCTTTTGTACGAAAAGAAAGCCCTAAAACATTCCTTTATGGATTTATATGCGAAATTTAGATTCATGCACAATTCTAAAGAGTTGAAAAAAAAAATAACAATGGTCCCCCATCCAATTATTAATTTTCAACTCGCTAATGATTTGGTTAAAAGTCTGCTGTTCCCACGTGTTCTTGTTATGCGGTTTTACATTAAAATATGATTATTAAATTACTTGTCAAAAATGAGAAGAGGCGGCGTAGCTTAAGCTTTCTTAGAATAAATTTAGATTTGATTAAATCAGTATCCACGTGAAAAATAATCGACTCAATCTGAAAAATAATTTATTATATCTTATATATTTAACCATAATCGCAATAGCATCTCTAGGTATATTATTATTTTTCAATTAGATATCTATTTTATCGAACAAAATTAATATTTTTTATAAATATATTTAATTTAAGTTGATCGGGTCAAATTTTATCTCAATATGCAAGTTGAGTTTTGGGTCAGGTGAAGTTATCTTAAATTCGAGTCAAACTAAATTTTGGATGAATGGTGTATATGGATGAATTGATTGGAAACTTGACCCAACCCGATCCATTATATCCCTAAAACTACCCCATATCAATATACCAATTAATCGTGATCATTAACTATGTAATTAATCATTTGTAATGTAGAGAGGCTAAGCAAACTAGGGTTGATAGGGAAGACATAATCAAAGTGAAGTCATGAGGATGATGCTAGATGAAGGATATAAAGTGACAAGGCCGCCATGCCCCACGACCACTTCCTTGGACTCTCTCCTCCACAGTCACGACGTCATTTGAGTTCTATTAACGACCAAACAATCATCTTTGACGCTTTTAATGTTTGTTCTATAAATAACCCTAACCTTCAAAACAAGTAATTATCATCTCCAATTTTTACTTTGAACATGGATTCTTCATCATTTTTTCAATACCCAAATCTCCATTTCTCTCCTGAATCATCTTCTTCCTATGTTTCACAAGAGAACTTCGCACCAGCCCTTCCTTTCAACGAAAACGATTCCCAGGAAATGCTTCTTTTCGGGGTTTTAAACCAAGTACTCCCAGAAAACTCCATTAATACAACCTCCGACGATCATGAAGTGGAGTCGAAAGAGATTTCATATAGAGGAGTGAGGAAGAGGCCGTGGGGTAAATATGCGGCGGAGATAAGGGATTCGACCAGGAATGGTGTTAGAATCTGGATTGGAACTTTTGATACAGCTGAGGCTGCTGCTTTAGCCTACGATCAAGCTGCATTGGCAATGCGAGGTCCAACGGCCATACTCAATTTCCCCATCGATCAAGTTTATAAGTCACTTCAGGAAATGAACTATGGATTCCAACAAGGTTGTTCTCCTGTTTTGACCATGAAGGAAAGGCATTCTATGAAGCGCAAACGATCGGAGGCCAAGAAAATCAAGCAAGAGAAGATGGATAATATGATTGTGTTGGAGGATTTGGGTGCTGACTATTTGGAGGAACTTCTAAGTATATCTGGGACTGCGACTCACTGGTGAATAATTTAGTGTATCTTCAATCCATTTTTTATGGTGATCTCATAATAATAAAAATAACACTAGTTGATATAACTTTTTTAAAGAATAATTACACCGATCAAATCTAGATTCCCTCCTCGTTTCATATCCTCTAAATACACTCTATTAGCATTTGTTACAAATTGTTGAGTTTAATCGCACTAAAACATTCAATCATTATAATAATCACATTCATTCGATTTGAAGTTGAATGTACTGGCAATTCTTTTTCATTATGACTTTATCAGATGACCATCAGAGGCAGGGGCCTCGGCAAGACCTATCCAGGGATTGGACAGTAGCTTCATTTGGTACATTAGAGTTGGGCAGACTATATTCAAAGAACCCTGCTCTAATTACTATTTATTAATGATAAGATAGATGAATCTAGTGAGTGATTTCGATGATATAATTCAGGTTTAGACAGTATTATTTGTATGTGTGAGTTTACTCAAATAAGAAATATGATAGATAGTATCATTACACCATACATTAATAAAGAAATATTTATAAAATACACAGTATACTATTAATAAAATATTTTTAAAATTTTATGATTAAATAAAAAAAATTTAGCTAACCCTTATTTTCATATGTAATATAGGATAAGGGGGGGTAAGATATTAGGCTGTCCCCAACACCAGGTTGAGAGCAGTTTCCTTAGAAGACCTTCAAATTATGAAATGCCCTTCATGAGACTCGATCTCACGACCCCAAGATTAAGAACCTTGTGCTCTACCAACTGAGATGGATGATCATTTCTTATAATTAAATGAATAATATATATTAAATTGGCATCTAAAATAAAATTTATAACTGTTAAAATTTTCATTTTTTTCTTATAAATTATAAGTACAATGTGATTGTTATTTTTCTTTCGCATTTTATTCACTAATAATTATTTAAAAACTATGTTTTAAATTAATTGTTTTGTCATAAATGTTAACAGTCACCTAACATAATCTATAACTTTTATGTGTCAATTACTTTCTACCGGATTTGAACAAGGGCATTGATTAATCTTGATGTACAGCTTGTGTCTATTTTCATCAATAAATTCAAAATGTTAAACTATTAGTGTGTTAATCTATGAGTTTAGACAAAAATAGGAAATTATATAATATATAATTTGTATAAAATTTAGAATTTATAAATATAATATAGGAATATATTATCACCTGATATATAATTTTCATTTTATGATGAAACTAGGTAATATATATAATAAGGACAAGAAAGAGGCAGCGTGGAATTATTTTCTCACGTCTAGCTTTAAAGGGCGGTGGAATGCTGACAACTGACAAGTAAGGTTGATTATGATTATATACCCCTTATATTTAACGTAAAAATTTTAGTTTTATATTCTTTTTAGTATAGTTGGATAATGAAAAATCAAATGCTAAGATTAACTAATTATTTTTTTAATAAATATTTTTTCATTTTTCTAGGAATAATAAACAAGTACAATTTCGTGGATTTTGTATTGTGTCTATTCTAATTGGGACGAAAATGGATATAAATTTACTAGGTAGTAGGTAAATCTAAATGCAAAAAGTCATATCCATTGTTGATAATTGATTGGTGATAGGTTTAAGATCTTATTCACTCCGTATTCATATGTACATCTGCCTGCTAACTAGTTACCCGCTATATATCCAATGATCTATGATTATTAATTTCCTACATCTGTATGTCTTAGTTGGAAGGATTCGAAATTTAATTTAGAAAAGAACATGAGCTTCTCTACGATGTTACATCTCTTTTAACAAAAGATGGCCGTAACTATTATTATAAAAATACTTTTTTCTTCAATAAATTTTTTAAAATATTAATTACTCCATAATAATTAAATTAATCATAGTTTTAAATTTTTTAAATCAATAGTTGTATTTGGACACGTTTTAATTTATTGTTATTACATTAGAAATGTTAAGAATATAAAATAAATTCCTGTAAGTTAAAGAAAAAAGCTTGATGATGATTTTTTTACATAAGTTTGATGATGATTTCTATACTGTTCCTTTCTTTCTTCCTTCTTTATTAATTATTAGTGGGCGTATCCCTCTTTTCAACAGTGTCTTGTATAATTTTAATCACACGTATCTAATTTATTAGTCGATTAATTTAGATTAAATA